TGTTTTATTAAAACTGTTTTTTCCCCCACAAAGTAACAACTTTTATGATTCTTAAAAGTAGAAAAGTTTGGGAGCACAGGGAGGTTTCTGTAACACACATGCAATCTAAGTTTAAACATGCAGGCTAATATACTTACACCCCTAATGTCCATTAGTTGGATCATAATGAGGTGTTATTGATGTGTTTTCATGCATTTTCCCTGCAAAACTTCTGTTTATTGTTTAAGTAAAAGTGGGTTCACTGCTGTTCCAGATTATGACTTGCTTGAGGTCATAAAGTATAATTTTGGAATATCTTAAGCAAGCTGAGATAAAACTACTAGAACAACTCAAAACAACCCTGCAAAGGTAAATCAATTTAAAACAGCTCAACTAATACTGATAAAAAAATTTGTCAAATGTTGAGCCAGAATTATGGCAGAACCTTAGCTACAAAAGAAGTGTGGTTCCTCTGCAACCAACAAACATATAACAAATATTAGTGGGGGTGTATGTATTTATTTCACATAATATTTACTTCAAAACCAAATCAAACTTATGCACCTAAAAAAAATAACACTTAAGTAAATTATATAACAATTTCATCCTGAAAAAAATACTTGTTTAAATGCATGAAGATTTTCTTTTCATGCCACTTTCATGACGTTTATTTGGACCACAAAATAATGCTGCATTTATACAGTTAGTTTCCATGCCACAAATGTTTTTATTTGCTTTTTATCCATATTAGCAGAGAGTGCTCACACCTTGACAACATTATAATACAAGGAAACATATACCTTCTATTTTCTTACATCCTGTTCCTGTTGTTTTCATTTAGCATAGTAAAAGGACAGGGAATTGACAGGTTTCTAGCTATTTTTTTATCTGCATTGCCAGAAATGCAAATCAAAAATTAGCATTTTTAAAAGTGCTAAAACCTTGGCAGAACCCAAAACAACAATGTTTAAAAAGTATTTACGTTTTCTATTTCCCTTGGTTGTTCTCAGTGAATAACTGGGATTAAAAGCTATGCCAGTCCAGTCCGTTTACATAATAAAACCTGACAACTTTTCAGACGCATCCATTTAAAAGTTTGACTAAGGTCAGAGTCTCTATTAAAAATGATGAATGAGTGTAATGTCCTCTGATGTCACGCAGAAGTTTTATGCATCTGTCCAATGTGTGGGAGCCCATAAACCTACAAACTGCCATTATCTCATCAGTCACTCATAAACGCAATCAGGCTTTCTGGAAATGACTTTCTCCATCCTCACTCCGTCCACTCTCCCCTGCACTCCCACATTACTCTTCACTCTTATTCCATCCGTCATTATTTCTTCACCGGGCTCCTCTCTGCATTATAAGCTCCATTTTAAAGCCCATCTATCATCATCTATGAAAATTGAAAATGTATTGCCCGGAGGTGATAAACTCCACCCATCTGCGGCTCATCTGAGGATAGTATCTGACTATAGACTCTGTATCTTCTGTGTTCAGATGTAAATGAGTGTGATAAAGAGAATGGCGGCTGTGCCGAGGTGTGTGTGAACACCAAGGGTTCGTGGCGCTGTGAGTGTGGACGAGGACGCGTGCTGGACGAGGACGGACGCAACTGCAGAGGTATATGACACTCCAAACTGAGGTAATGAAACAGGAACCAGCTTTGCATTCTCACTACTTCCCTCGTTCCTTGTCCTCTGCAGAGATTGCGGGTTGTCACGTCAACAACGGAGGATGCAGCCACGTCTGCTCCCAGATGCAAAACTCCTATCAGTGCAGCTGTCCCCGAGGGCTGGAGCTGGGAGAAGATAAAAGCACATGCCAGGGTGGGTGCCTGTGTGTGAAGCAGGTAGATGTTTTAGTTAAAGAGTAGACACATGCTTTTATTTGTCTCCAGGGGTCTAACAGATAAAAAGCATTTCCAACGGCAATAACAGTTACATTCAGTCTGTGATTGTTTTTATAATAGCTTGTCTTTAACAACTTTCCCATCTTAAAGAAAATATTACAACAGTCACATTAAGCTTTTTCTTTCTGGACATTTTACTTATTATCACATATGATATTACTTTCCAGAACTTACTAGGAGCTTTCCTGTGACTTACCAGATAATTTCTGGAAAAGTCCCACATTTTAAGCCACTTTGTATTATTGTTCAGTACCTAAAAGTACCTAATAAGGTTGAGGAAAGTACCCAATAAGTCCTATGAATACTGTAAAGTATTGCATGTCACGCCATAATCCAGTCCAGCATGTGAAAGTACCCAGTAAGTTCCAGGAAGTTAACTAGTTAGTTCTCTAAAAGGTAAAAGAATGTACATTGAAAGTTTCATGTAAATGACCAAGAAAGTTCAAAGTAAGAACCATTTAAACTCTGGGAAATGAATGATTTGAGTACATGAAAAACGTTTAATAAAGTACCTGGTGAGATCTGGGACTTTGAGCAAAGCTCCTGAGAAGAGTGCCTGCTACGTTTCAGGTAAGTTTCAGAAAGTTACAGAAAATTATCTCTTAGTTTTGGGAAAGTATAGTTTATATTGTGTGTATATTTGCATGATTTTATGTCATTGTGGGGAACAATGAGAGAATATAACTCCTCTCATTCTCACCCAGTGCCAGTCTGGTGTGATCCCAGCTCGATTACGGTGTCAGTTCCTAAAGACCTCGTTGGAGGTCTGGAGCTTTCGCTGTCAAACTCTTCCTGCCGAGGAGTCTCCAATGGCACCCACATCAACCTGAGCTTCAGCCTCAAAACCTGCGGCACAGTGGTGAAGGTCAGCTGCTTTGCTTTACACTCTGAGAGTAAACTGGGTCAAAAGGTGAAAGGTGAAGACTAAAAAAACCGCTTCCTCCCAGGTGACAGAAAACAAGATAGTTGGGACCAACCTGGTGACGGGCCTGCCCCAGAGCATCCCCGGCAGCAGCAGGGACTTAATAGTCCGAACCGGCAAGTTACTGCTCCCGGTGACATGCGAGTTCCCCAGGGAGTACCAGGTGTCGGACGGGTACCAGGCAACTCTGCAGGGCTCGGCCTTGGAGCTGGAGAGCCACAGCGAGGGCGTCTTTGGGTTCAACTTGGAGCTGTTCAAGAACGCAGAGTTCTCTGAGCCCTACCGCAGCCCGCCGCAGCTCCACCTGCACGACTCGCTCTTCTTTGGGGTGGAGCCGAAGGAGAGAGTGGAGGGCCTCTCGGTCCTGGTGGAGAGCTGTTTCGCTACTCCAGGACCCAAAGCCGACCAGGCCCTGAAGTATTACCTCATCAAAGATGGGTGAATATTTGATCTATTTGTTATTTATTTAGCCTGAAACAGCTAAAGACTTAAACTATGCTCTTCATCCGTATGTATTTTTCTGTTGTACATGATTTTTTTCCAAAAAAAAATTACTTCACAGAAAAAAAAAATCTTTATATTCTATATTTATTATTTCACAAGGTTTAGTTAACAATATTATATCAAAGAAACCAAATTTATGTTATTTAACTTGAATTAGTCATACCTCAGATAGTAACTTAAATGCTATTCGAAACTAAAGTTGTTTTAATAGTTGTGTTTTTGGAGCGTCATCGTCTTACACTGGGTTTACAGTTGCAGAAATGCAGCAACGAGCATCTTGGAATTAACAAGTCTCAGTAAAAAAGCGTTTTCTGTCTCACCATCATAAATTTAAATGTTGGTTGTTTCCTAAACTCCAATGGGAGTGTAATTGGATCTGTGTGTTTGGGTCATCTGAGAAAAAGATTGAGCTTTTCAGCAACAAACACGCCTGTGTGGGTTTGGAGTGAAGCATATATATGTGTAAAAGTACCGCATGAGGGAGGATCTGTGATTCTGGAGGCTTTTTGTTTTCTTCCAAATGCTGTATCTTAAATTATTATAAAAATCTGGTGGCGTCTACCAGAAAGTTAAAATTGGGCCGTAGTTGGGTTTTTCAACGGGACAATGAATCATGCCATAAATGTACAATCACAGAAGATCTTAACCAGATTCTGTTAGGATCTCGGGTTGTTTTGACTTGCAGTGGTGGGGGTTTGATTTACTATATTCCATTTATTTCAAGACAAAAAGTAGTCCAAAAAGAGATAAAATAAAATTCTAGTTTGTTATTCTGTGTTCCTTAGTGTCTTTCTTTGATCAGCCTTGTGTCTGTTTTAATTTCCCTCAGTCTTTCTTAGTGGTTTACCATGTTTAATTCTTTTGTCTAGTCATGTGGTTTTATTAGGTTCATTATGTTTAGTCATTCTTTAGTGCCAGATTTATTTTTCTAGTTCCTCTGTTGTGTACTCTCCCTCGGCCTCTGTGCCATTTTCTCTCTCTCTCTATTCACTCGTATGGATTGTTCCAACATTCACACTCCCAGTATTTATTAATTTCTCTCTCATTCCTTTTCACTTGATCCTCTAGTTATTTTTCCCCATTTCTTTCAGGAAATTCTTTGTGTATTTTCTATCTGTAGGTTTCTCTAGATTAGGACAGCTGATGCTGACGAACTGCCTTTAAAAACACATATGGATGAGCAGGTGCTGTTGCCAAACATCCACTGCTTTTCTGACTCTGTTTCTCTCACTCAGATGCATCTCAGATGAAACGGTGACACAGTACTCATCAAAGGACCAGCTCTCCAAGCATTACCACGTCCCCGTCTTCAAGTTCATTGGCAAGGACAGCCAAGTAAGTAAATCTAGCATGCTGGGAGCCAGCTGGTGAGTGTGTGAGTTGCTCTGTACTGTAGACATAGACTGCAATGAATTACCGGTATAAGATGCCGTTTGCCTCAAACAACAATATGGCTTCCTGTTTCTGCAGCAAGTGTTCCTCCACTGTCGGGTGTTGGTGTGCGGGGCAGGAGACACCCGCTGCGCCCAGCGCTGCCGTGGACGTGCACGACGGGAGATTTGGATTAGAAACAATCAGCAAAAGCAAACGTTGAACACAGGACCTATTTACATCCTGCCTTAGACGAGCGTCTCTAGAACAACCAGCAGAAAAATATGTCAGCACATAAATTACTCTTGCAAATGAGGTGACCATTTCAGTTTATTTGGTAGTTAAAGCACCAAATAGATGCAGACATACAGTCCATTGCACTGTCCCTTTAAAGTCCTACACACATAAATACACATACACACAGAATACACATATTCTTCCAAGCTTCAGTGTCTCACAGCTGTATTACTGACATTATAATGATTGACAGTCCCATTACAAACCTGATGGCTGGGCCCACAGCACAGCAGATGTTTATCAGGATGTCACCGTTAGGACATTTTCTCTGGATTGATTGCAACTTCGAGACTCGGACTAGTTTAAATTTCATACCATCATTAACTTGGAAAACAACACACGGCCCTTCCGCTGATGCATTTTGACTCATTTGCTGAGCTTAATCAAAGCACTGGGAGCATGTCAGACATTACTGCGGGCCAGCAGAGATGCGCATCGGTAATAATGCACATGGCTCATCACTCTGGAAGCTAATCTATAGGTAATGTTGACATTTAAGTTCAAATTAGATGGAAAGTAATAAAATAACTTACATAAACTATGTGCTGTAGTAGGCATTTGACTTGGTCTTGAAGCTCTATGAGAAATTTCAGACGGCAGCGCACACACTGTGCTGCTTGCACTCCAGTTATCTTGAAATTTCAATCAGGAGGAAATTAATCCGACCAACATATTCTTCTCATCTTCATATCAGGTGTTTTGTTTGGAGTCATCAAGTAATTTATGGTAATGGAGTCATAAAAACCCAAATTTGACCTACAATGAGGAGGTAAATATGCATAAGCAATTAATTCAGACGCTAAAGGCCGTCTTCAGACTCACAATATCTGTTTGGACCCTGTATTAATAAATCTTCTGAATCACTGAATTCCCCATTTACATCTTTTTAATTTCCTCATCTCTGAATCTTAAAGGGATAGTTCAGATTTTTCCATGATTCTGTTATAAGCAGTTAATATCATGCCTGTTTAACTCTCCTTGCTGTGCCTGTGAAAGTCTGGACAGCATTATACTGATGGAAGCATTATTAGTTTAAATTGTTCAGCTAAGATAATAGCACCCTAGCTTGCTAGCCGTTAGCATTCCATAGCTCTGAGGATTAATGTCACCTTTCAAAAACAGGGAACTATTAAGAGTTTCATCAAATAGCAATAGCTTTGGAGACTGAAATTGTTTTATGAGATTAATTCTTCTGTTTTGCTCACGGCCGTTTTCAGGCTAGCTGTTAGCTTCATCTAATCTGAATTCATGCAAATAAAGACGCCTAAAGCTATTAACTGCTCATAGCCTCTCAGTTAAACTCCACTTCATATATTCTGAACTACTCCTTTAAGAGGGCTCTCTTGAGAAGTGTCTTCTCTTGTTGTAATATGTGGAAATGTCCATGACTCTGTTATCTTTTAAATATACAGAGGAGGGGACCACAGTGTTCTGCGTTACAGTTCATCTTTCTCCTCTCCCTCGCAGATGCACGATGCCCTCTGGCTGTTCATGTAAGGCCTGCAGCCCAGAGTCCACACTGTGTTGTAGAAGGCGTCTGCCATTGATTCACAAGCTGAGGGAAGGAAAATACATGAATGATTTTTTTTTTTTTGTAACTCCTTCCTGGTGGTTATTTTAATAAACAAAACCAAAGTTTTTTTTTGCAAAAATCTCACCTTGCACTTTGGACACAAACCCCAGACTCTTCTTCAGGTCAGAGCAGATGTCATGGAGGCACGAGCGAAACTTGGCATCGCAGTCGTACTTGTTCACACCGCAAGTGTCGTAGCACACATCCAGCTGGTTGCAGCACCTTGTCATAGCAGGGATTCCCACATCAAGCTGGTGTAAAAGAGTTAAATGTCAACTTGGTTCACCAGTGCACAAGGTTCTGTTGTGGTTACAAGAGGTTGTGCGAGAGTTTTTCATTGACTGATGGTGTCAAAAAAATCCTGTCATGTTTATTTTTGCCCCTCAATTTTAAAATGGTTCCATTTCATTTTCATTATGCTTAATGTTCAATAAACTGAACAGATAATCCACGTTGTATCATCAAAATGAAAACATTTAACTTTTTCTCTGACAAAGTTTTGAAATATGGTAACATTTCACTTATTGAAGTGATCAGAAGTCGGCAAGACTTGCTAAACGTTGCCTAATCCTGTAAGCATGAGAATAATCCCACAGCAATGCTTCAGCTGCGTCGTCAGATCATAGGTGATGCTCTGACGGAAATGCTGATTGATTTTAGTGGTATCCGTGATGTTCTCTGTGCGTGAACTTGGAACCGTCTGCACCAAGTGGTCACGTAAAACAATCGTACAAGCTCAACGTACCTGCTCTTAAGTTGTTTACTTATGTGTATTAAATTTCCACCAAAAGAAACTTTGAAATTTTCTAGAAAAATTATGAAAATTTCTGAGTTTCAAGAGTTTAAAATTTTCAACTTTTGAGACTCAGAAATGTCCATGTTTTTTCTGGAAAATTTCTGAGATTAATCTAAAAAATATTTAGCTTTTTCTCTCCAATTTTTGTCTTTACTCTTCCTATTCTCACACACACACACACACATATATATATATATACACATACATACACACACACATATATATATATATATATATATATATATATATAAATACACAATAGCCATAATATGCCGTCATATTGATTTAAATAAAATAAATGACGGAAGACCGCCAGATTTTTTCGGCCCTTCTTACAAAAAAAAACCCATTTAAGGTGGAAAATACTCAGATAATTGTTGCTGATGGTGCTATGAGCAGGCCACCTACAGCAGCATTCACCTGGAAGCCCACCAGAGACGAGCTGCAGCCGTTGGGTTCTTGATGCTTGTAGCCGGGCCGAGGAAGTGGGAGTGCTCCTGTGGAAGAATAAGAATGAACACGGCTGTTCTGTGAAGGCCCCAGACGTTTGTTACAGATCTCTGTCAGGTGTCGTGCAACATCTGTTTGAGAACATCTGCAGCTGATCTTGTGTAGAGATGATTCTTGAAGACCTCAGAGATTTGTTAGACGACATTCATAATCAAACACACCCCCCAATCACAGAGCTACTGTAAATCTCTGCTGTCAGATGTGACGCAACTTCTGTGCACTGATTGCATAACAGAGAGGACCCACGCCCTTCAACAAATCCTTCTTAATTCAGGACAAAACATGTTTATGTATGATCAAAGTAAACCATAAGCACAGTTTTTGGGGATTCCTTAAATCTGCCGTGCTTTTGCTTAACATTTTTTGTTCAGTGAAAAGTATCTGCAACACCTCTGACGGCACCAAAGCTAATATGCAGTGAAAGTGCAAGATTCATCTTTACCATATCGGCAGCGATACTGACAGACACCGTTGTGTCCCCCGACCAGCTCCACCAGGGAGTCGAAGTATCCGTGCACTGTCTGGAAACTGTCCCTGATGGAGTTGAGGCTCCAGCTGCTTGCTTCTTCTTGTGCCAGGGGTTTATTGGAGGCCCTGTTTGTCTGGACTGGCCTGATCTCATTGGCCTCCTCTTCAGGTGGAGGTTGGTCCTGAGTAACGGCTTTCTTTGCAAACCCTTCCATAGCAGCAGAGGCTCCATCGGGCTTATCCTTGTCTGTTTCTGGCTCTTGGACTTGGACTTGAGGTAGGTCTACTCCTGAGTTATCTGCTCCAAATATTTTGTCATCAAAAGCAGAATCTAGAGGGGCAGCTTGAGCGACAACAGTAGCAACTTCCCCGTCCTCTGAGGCTTCAGTCTGGAAGTACCCCAATGTGGCACACATTCCTGTAGACGCACAGAGGAGGAACAGGGCCGCAGTCCCGAGCAACATGTTCATCAGCTGGCTGTAGTCTTCAGTCAGGTTTCAAACGAAGGAAGAGCTCAGACGGTGAGGGACATCCCAAAGCTTAGTTCTCACTGACTCTGTTAGCCTGAGTGCAGACTTTGACCTTTGATTAGGTTCTTGTCGACAGCAAGGCACTCTGTCATATCAGGGGTAAAAGTCCGAGCATATCAGCACATAGAAAGGTCGCTTAAATTCGGCTAATTCTCTCATTTTTAGTCATTCTTAAACACGTCTTTGATCACTTTTACCACAGTTTTTAGTCACAAAGTTTTAAGTAGATTTTTACCATTTGAGTCACATGGAAACTGGAGAAAAATGCTCTTTGTGTTTCTTTTAATACCCCACCCACCCTGCCGTGACCTTTCTCAAGACATCACAAACCTCAAACTATCCTTACTGGTTTTGATAAAGGTCACAGTCTGACAACTCAGCACAGAATGTAAACAGAGGCAAGCATAAAATTATCATTTCCATTGGGAAAACAGGAAGTAGGTTGGTTTTATCTTTTCAAGAGCAGCTTTAAGTGTAACTAATAAAGAACCATAACAGAACTGAAATGAAGCTAGAAACTAATATACAGAACCAGAGCAAAGCCACTGAAAGTATTAGGCGACTGCTCAAATCTGTCCAGTATTGGACTTTTATCACGTTCCTCTGCTGCCCTCTTGTGTTTGTGAAGAAAATTAAACTCCTGCCACAAGGCACAGCTGTCACTTGTTCACACATTTCCATGCAGATTATATCGGTGAAGATGCACCAATATTCAGGTTTGTTTACTCCATGTTTTCATTGTGTAATTTGCTGATAACACTGACAAACGTGTCTGCTTCAGCTATTCAAATAACATGGAAAGTGCCAAATGTTTAATACTAAAACTTATGTGAAGAACATCAAAGTAGGACATAAAAGCAAAAACAGCTCTGCAGTCACATCCCTAGGATGTTTCCACATTTTGACATATCTTAAAATAGATTTAATGTATTTTATTCTAATTTCCCATGATGCACCAGCACCAAGAAGTGTGTAATTCTTGGTGCTGGTGCAAAGGATAGGTTTATTGTTTCGTTCTGTTACAGAACGAAAGATGCAGGTGACTGAAGCTATTCGCCGTTTGTTTGGAGATCCCTTTCTATCTCTTTCCACAGCATCCTGGGGGGGAACACAAGGAGGAAGATGATCATAAAGAAAAGAAACAAACCAGTAACATGACACACGTATGGAATATGCCACATACCGTCTGATGACCTCTATTGGCTTCTCTCTGTCTAACACCAAAGTGATGTTGTTCTGTAGATCCTTAAAATAAAGGGACATGTCACAGAGTGAAGCATCCTGCTGTATCTAATAATACTTAAATTTATAGTCAGAGAAAAGTAAAATACTAAAAGCTGTCCTGCCTTGCTAAGGGTCCTTAGACGGTCATTTGAAACTATCAGATTTATTGTTTCTGCCTGGAAACACACAACATGCTCAGTTGTGCTAATCAAGAGGTTTTAGAGAAGGACATGGTGGATCTTTTTATCTTTTAGGACCTGTAGAGCTTTGAGTTTTCGTTCAGTGGCCGCAATCGCAACAGCACATGCCATCCTTTCATGGATCTCCTCCTCTAGATGTTGGATCTCCTCCAACACGTTCAGAACCTGAAGTTTCCTGACCTGGACGGTGTCGCTGTCGTCGATGGGCATCCCGCTGTCCTCTTTTCTGGACAGGGATGTCTCTGTCCACACACAGAAGGGGCAACATGCGTCAATGCAAAACAGGGAATAATAACAGGTCTGTGCTTGAACACATGCACCACTACAGGTGGTCTGAATGCAGTGCCTTGTCAGTGATACTCTCTCTTTACATGTGTCAATACAATAAAATGAAGAGAAAATTTTTGGCGTGTGAGAACCTGATAAAATGCATGTTGAAAATAACCATGTGTACTTCCTGCAGGAGACTATATAATACAACATATTTTTACATGCGGTTTACCAATGATGATGCATGCAAATGTTGCTATCAGACTCACTCCTTCTGCTACTGCATTCATCCGGAAAGTTCTTTAGCTCATCTTGAGCTCTGAAAAAAAAGAAGAGAGAATAGAAAGCGTTAAACTAGAAATTATTTTTCAGGTCTTCTGTTATTAAGTAAATCACTGCAGTACCGTTTATTCTCCCTGAGAGCGCTTTTGGCCTCTTCTTCCAGACTGCAAACCCCTTTTTCTGCACCCTCCACTTCCTTATCACTGACCATAAAATAATCGATATCGCTGACAAATGGCTGCAGCGGCTGCAATGCAACAGACACATCGACAAATAAAGCAAGTCAAAAGACAACTGGAAGAAATACAGACCCTTCCATTCATGCACATCCAACTTGTTCAGGTCTGTCACATAAAACTCCAGTCGGATATTCTAAAGTTTGTGGTAAAATGTAAAAATGTTTGAAAGGCAGGAATACTTTTGCAGGGTATTGTACTTTCATTGAGCAGTTTTTCCCTCATCTTAACTTCTTTTCCCTCCATACTTCAGAAATACAAATATATTTTTCATTATCTTTGAAACTGCCTGACCAAGAAAAAATGAGTTTTGATTTATTTATATTGTGTAGCATGTAATTTTGGACATTTTCTGCGTTTATATTTACCACGTTATCTTGTGAGGAATGGGTCTCCATCATGTGATTGATGTATAAATCATATTCAGTCTGGAAGAAAAAAAAAACATTTTACTTAATAATCACACTTAATTTGTCCAAATATGATGCTTTTGTCAGCTGTAAGCAGAAAATACCAAACAGTTAGATTTACCAAAATTTGTTAAATGCCAGAATATTTGGGAATAATGTTTTTTTGTTTGTTTTGTTTTTATTTATTTTATTTTTTTTTACATTTTCTCTAATTCCAAAGTTTGCATATATTTGATCAGTAACTGGGATAACAGCCTTTTAAACTATCTTACAAATTTTCTGGCAATCAAATCAATAAACGCTAAAGCTAAAGTAGCAGAAAACCAACCAATTCTGATAAGAAGAGTCATCTAATATCTAATATCTAGCTGACCAAATATTAGTGCCTGTGTTTTTATCTGAGCTTGTATTTGTATTTTGACCCTGGCTGGATCGTCGGAGAACGTTTTCATCCAGCTCTTGTCATCCATCCGTCAGCCTTGACAGTAAATGAAACAATCGCTTCCATTGGAACAGAAACATTAAAATGCAGAGTTGTGCAACGCTGTCATGTGGAAAAAGAAACTTCCATGAAATGATACGTTTCCATGTGAATGAGCAGCGACTGCGCGGCTGCCCTCAGAAGTCCTGCTCCCTGACACATGAAGACCAGGTTCCGGTGGTTGCTCTACTTGCGCTCGCTACACCGGGGACTCACTCTCTCTTGGCTCGGATACATCTGACAGCACATGCTAAAAATGTGCAAGTGGGTACAGAGGAAATGGAAAAACCTTGATTTCCCTCAGGATGCGTCCAAATACTGGCAAGTCTTCACATACATCATCAAAGACGTCACTGAACACCGCAAGGCGGTCTCTGCTGGGCCAACTCAGTCCTGACAACTTCTTCAACTCCTGAGTAAGACAGGAACACATACACACAAAGCTTTGGCAAATAAAAGTGTGTGTCTGTGCCTGGTTTCCTAATGTCATGCTTTTGGTGACTGTTTTCACCTTTCGCAGTTTCCTCTCGTACATTTTAGCATCAACTCCCACCCTGTCGGCAGTGGGAGCCGTCTCTTCCCTTGTGCCTGCATGTGACGAATAATCTGTGGCCTGATCTTGTTGTGACCTCAAGACCTCGGAGTCTACAAAAGCAGCGCCGGAGGTGTTCTCTTTTTTCCTCGCAGAGCCCAGCGACTGTGCCTCTCTTTCCTCTAGACTCTCTTCTTGGCCCGGGGAGTCAGTGAGGATATCTGCTTCCCGAGGAGCCTCAGCAGCAGGCTGCGCTCCTTGGACATCACTCCCCAAATGCTGATTTTTCTGTTCAGAGCTGTTGGACATGGCTGTGAGGGTAAACACATTGTAAAGACAGAGAAGTAAAAGCATCTGATGTATAGATTTTACCTGAGGAATATTACATTTTCAGTTGCAGAGAGATTCAGCTGAAACTAACTCCAGTACGAATACTTAATGGATTCCCAACTTACATTTAAGAAGCTAAATCAAGTTAAATAAGAAGCAACCTAATTGGCTTTTACCATGTAAGAATAAATATCTAAAAAAATGTCCTGTAGCAGATTTCTTCTGTTTATTTTATTTAATGTTTTTTTTTTTTTTGGTGAATTGTAAATATTTCAAATTATCAAACAAATTTCAATACAAAGCTATAATGTGCAGTTTTCAAATGATTATGTAACTTATTCAGGGACAAAAGTAATCCAAACCATAATGACGGGGAATTATTTTTCTTCATCACTGAGGAATTTTGTTCACCTCTTCTTTGCAGAACTGCTTTAATTCGGACACATTGGTGAGCTTAAAAAAAAACCAAACAATTATAACCTATCATATTTAAGTATAGATTTTGACAAGACAACATTTAAAATCTTAATATGGTGTGAAGCTACGCTTTGGATCATATTTTACCTTAAAAATCTGACATGGAAGCTCTTTCTCCCTAATCTCTTTATAATATTTAGACAATAAACATTGAGCATAACTGAAGAAAGTGTTGTCTGCTTTGTTTTAGATGTTATCATGTGACCTTTGGGATGAGTCGACCGTAGACCCTTGGAACTATTATTTTCAGCCGAAAACTCCTGGGAAAGTTCACAACTGTTCCAAGTTTTCTCCATATGTGGATATTGTCTCTCACTGTGGTTCACTGGAGTCCCAAAGCCTTGTTAGAAATTGTTTTGACATCCTTTTCAGCCTAATAGATGTGAACAACGTTGTTTTTAATCTGTATATGAATTTCAGGACATAATCCTTTGCTATTTGAAACCCTTTAGTGACATGTTGCGGGGAGACGGGTGTGGGTTTGTCTTGATAAATTTAATTCAGCAAACCAAAATAAATAAATTAGAGTTAATTCAAGATTTGACCCAATGTGCAGCTTCTTTTCAACACAAGTATAGTTTGTTTTTTAAGCTAGATAATTTAGTGACTTTGTACATTTGCTTAGATTATCTTTGCTTGATATTTTTTTTTTAAATTTGAAACTTTTAAGAGGAAAAAAAAGCAGAAGCACATTTTTTTTCATAGCTATACAAATCACTAAAGAATATGTTCAATATAACACGTTTTCCAGATAAATATAACAACGTGCTTCTCAATAAAGCACAAACAATACAGTAGAGCATCAAAAAGACTAGAAAATTTCTGAAGAAATTTAAACGGGACCTGCCAAAGTGTGCCCGTCGGTTGGAACCCAGCGTTCTGATGCTACAAATTAGCATCAATGCTAAAGTAAGCTACAATGTACCCAATAGCATGTGGAGAGTCAAAAGCATGTTGAGTAACATGGACTTATACCATTCAGTATGTTGAAATTAGTGTACAAGTTAAAATGAGCCAAATAGATAACATTTGCCTAAATGCTGTCAGTAACATGTGGGGCATCACTAGCATGTTGCCTTCATTCAGTATACTAAGCGTGGCTAATAAATAAGAAAAATAGCTAAACGACTTTTTTTAGGGAAAAGGCATTAACTGTGACGGAAGAATAATAAATAAATAAATAAATAAATATATAAAGAGACATTCTATTATGTGTAGAACAACAAAGGCAGTTGCTGCCCTTCCCTATGTAATGCTATGGCAGGCCCCAATTAATGTTTTTAAGTAAATAAAAGAAAATTTCTAGTTGTACCCTCGTCCAGGAATCACGACTGGAAACAAAAAAAACTTCAGCTTCAACGCCAGGAGTCTGTGATTTACAACGGTTCCCTTGGCAACCAAAGTACGTCATACCCGCGTTGCGTTCACTGTCTGGATGATCGTCGTACTGGGGAGCTTTTTTAGAAGCTCCGTTTAATTAGTTTTATCTCTCTCCTGAGGATAAAACTACACCTGAAAACTGAAAGATATACTTCATCTACTGAAGTTTGGGATGAAATTACATTGTCCCAGTTAAATAACATCCAAACACTCAGTCATCATTCCCAAAGGAAGCGGTGTTAACATACTGCACTATGGTTAATATTATGATTTAAGAAATGTGCAGGCCAACATTGTACACTAATTTAAATCCCAGGTGTTACAGGTTTATAAATTGCTGTATCTGAGCGTTATTAATTTAGTCATGGGCCAGCAGTAGCGGAGCTGTCTAGACCACCAGAATACCAGATGTGTTCTCTATAATCACCTAAACATAGAAGCTGTGAACTTCAACAACTGTCCTCTATTCGTCCTTATTTTTCCTGTTAAATTACATTTCCTTCAAGCAGTTAAAATTCAATATTTACCAGACAAATTGCGTAAACTTATCTTACAGGAAAAAATTTGATTAAAATCTCCCAAATGCATTAAAATACCTTCTTAATTTGGTTATTTACGATAAGTGTATTTTTGTAAGTCTTACGGGTCACATAAAGTGGGGAGAAGGGGATGGAGGAAGAGGAGGAGAAAGAAAAGAGGCCTCAGGGCCTGGAGTGACCAGAATAGGAAAGCAGATGGCAAAGGCTGAACACATGTTCAGCTCCAGTGAAATGCATCACACAGGGGGTTAGTGTTTTCTGTGAATCTTTCTATCATCTAATATCTTTTAGTGTAAATAAACCATTAAAAAGTAAAGTTAAGATCAAAGACATTTTGCGTTGGAATTGGAAAATCCTGATTAAAAATAACAAATCTTCCTGTAATAAACATGTCATTTCGAATTGTATTTTTGGATTTATTAATAGCTGATTTGACCTCACAGAGTACTGATACGAAACTATGAGGTCTAATTTAAAACAAAATGTAAAAAAACAAAACAAAGCATTAGATAAACTAAAATGCTGACCTAAGAAACTTGTTGAGCCTGCAGTTGTTCAGGTTTAGCTAACCATAATTAAGACTCTCCTCCCAACCCTCTTCATAACCTTATTGAAACACTCCACCCTAATTTCACCCCCATATTCACTCCTCCTTCCAAAACCTCCTTATAACCCTCCCTACAATCCAGACCCTCTTTGTAATCCTCCTTTCAACCATAATTCAGACTCTCCTTGTCCTTGTAACGTGCCTTGCAACCCCAATTCCAATCCTAATTCAGACCCCTTCATACACTAACTCCAACTTTAATTTGAACCCTAATTCACTCATTCCAAGACCTTCTTAGAATCCTCCTTATAACCCTCCATACAAGCCTAATTATAACCCTCATTCAGACCTTCTTTCCAACAAAAAGCACTCCCACAGCATAATGCAACTGCCACTATGACTCAGATAGGGGTTCATATCTTCCCAGATATGTTCAGTGATGACCTCCTTTTACATATTTGCAAAACTTCCAACGTGTTTTCCCCCAAAATTTTTTTTTTTTTTTGTGGCTTTCCTTTCACCGGTGTCTTAAGGACCAGATTTATAGAATACAAAAATTAAGACAGTCATGTTTTTGCTCTTTTGATTGATTAGAAAAGCCTTAAATTGTACCGAAAAAGATTACATAAAACAGAGCGTTGGACCTCTTGAAAATAACGTCAATTCATCCAGTCACAGCAAACAGAAAACAACGAACAACCAAGATTAAATAGTCTCACACATTCTCTTAATTCACTGCTCAGTTATTAAATAAACTGTGCAGTGAGAAGAACATGAAGAGAAAAAAAAAGATCTGCAACAGAGAGACGTTTTTTTTTTTTTTTCCAAATATGTATTTAATAAAAGTCATTTGGGCTACGGCTCTTACATTTACAGTTGAGACATTCCTCAGTTATTCTGGGTAACAGTAACATGTCTAGACTGTTTAATTTATCTTAATGTTTACTTTGTACAAAACAAAAAAGGCAAACATTATTCTTCTTTGTATAAAAAATATAAGTTAATTTAAATTTAAATCTAATTAAGAAAATAACAATAGTCATATAATAATAATAATAATAATAGTAATAATAATAATAAGGATGATGATAAAGATCATAAGCTAAACATAGTGCAGACAATGGGATATAACTGGTGCTGAAAAGGAGGAGGGACAGTGCAGTGACTTTATAATGTCTGATGGAGATGGAGTGATTAAAGGAGGAAGGCGTTCACACACACGCACGCATACACACACACACACACACACACACACACACACATGAAAACCTAGTAAGAAAGTGCACGACTGCCGTTCCATTTAGCACCATCAGAGCTTACATCTCTTCCTAGATTGTACACACTACTCACCTATTTCGGCAAATGAAAAGTCAGTATATATAAATATATATAACTTCAGGTAAGGTGCATGCTAATTGTTGCTCTTGGTTGAAGCTTACTGGAAGCAACTCTGAAAAGTAAGACAGTAGGATGGATCACATGGAGGAAACTGATGGTGCATACGAACCCACGCAGCGACACCCAGGATCTGCAACCAATGAGGACATTCATCAAAATGATACATTCACCACACTCAGGGGGGGGGGGGAAGGGGGGCTGCAGAACCAGTCGGACAACAACAAAACAAACACACACAAAACAAAACAAAAAAAAAAACAACATGAAAGATTTGAGCAGACACTTGAGTCTGAAAAATGAATGAGGACAAAACGGTTTGTCTCTTGGAAGATCTTGGAAACTTTTTTAAGAATCCAAACGCATCTTCTAGTTTGATTTAGGAAAATTAGTTATTTCTCTCTACAGCCTGTGTGTCACACAGTGGCAAAAATTCAAACAACACTCATGAGTTACAATCCCAGAGACACAATTTAACTTCGTTGAAATCATAGGAAGCCTTTAATGGTGTTTGTGATCGTTTGGTGTTATTCCTGCATGTCCATTTAAAAGAATAGAACGGTTGTTTATGTGCTTTCTGAGGTGAAATACAGTTGTGTTCAAAATAACAGCAGTACATTATCCCTTAATGAGATCTCTCCTTGTTTCTGGTAGAAATCATATTTCTACATGGCAAATAATGCCGTAGTGGATGTAGGAGAGCAACAACATCAACAGACATGCATTGTGTTTGATGACATGTTCAAAATAAAATGAGTGTAAAGAAGTGTGATCATTCAAGAACTTCCAAAAATTAAGAACGACACAGTTTGATGAAAAAGTCAACAGGAGAAGGGAAAACAGAAAGGCATAGAAAACGACAAGCTGTTTGGCTAAAACGTTTTCTCAACTGTTTTAAAATTGAAACCAAAACAAGAAATATGGTTAAAAATGGGGAAACTACCAGTCCAAGGCATCAAAGAAAAGCCAAAAAAGCCACGATTCATGAGCAAGCCGACTGATCAGCTCCAGTGTGATCTAAAAAGCCGTCCGTTACCCGTGAGAACAACTACAAGATGGCTACTGAGGCCATCTTGAGGCCAGAATTGCAGTCTGCCTGTAGTTGTAGCAATGGCAGCGGAGGAACAAAGTTGTCCAGTCCGTTTTGGTCACGCTTCCAAATATTAAATTAACATTTAAAAGCCGCTTCGTTCGGATTGGCCCTTCTCTCTTGCAGGTAAGAAGATAATTTGCAGGTAATTTCTGGTAAGCTTCATTGCATAGAACCGGCAAACGTTAGCAATTGGGTAAAATTTAAAGACGGATTCCACGCCTCCAGCCAGCTTTTACCAGGCTACTAATCTGCATATTAAAAACATTTCAATCTATTGCAAAGACTACATTCAAATGAATAATCTCTAATTTAGAATCTCTTTGACACAAATGCCAGAATTTCATATTTTTTTTTACAATTAGTTTGCAATTTAAATAAATCCAGGAGGTAAAAAGTCAACAAAACAATAACTCCAGAAGCAGTTCTAACTGGGCAGCATTTGGATTTCTAACCAACAGTCCAAAACCCGGGAACTTCATCTGATGGAAAACTCATTGAGTGACATCAAATGTGCAAAACTGAGGAATGCGGCCTGATTGGAGTACCTGTTCACAGGTGGTAGAAGTGGGTCGGCTCCATGCAACATACGCAGATGTGAAGGAGTTTTCAGAAACAATGGAAGCGCAGCTAAGTATCAGAAAAATCTAAACCTTTAAGCGTGTTCAATCTATAAAAGGATAATAGAGAAAATATTTTGTTTTAAAGGATCTTCTTTCCGTCTGTTTCCGTAGAATGATTCTAAATTTGGTACGTTTTTCTGCATATTTTGATTCTAAATTAAATACACCATGTTCCCAATGAATTTGTATGTATGGAGGGGGAAAAAAGCTATTAAAAGAAATTTAGAGCGTCAGTCTCCTTTTTTTTTTTTTTTTTTAAACACACTGCTTTTACTTTGAACACAAGTGCAATTTATAATGCGGTAAAGGAGAAGGGAGTACAAATTACTGATTATGCAGTCTTGGCTTAAAATAAACGAACAGGGTTTGGATCCTGGTGATCAGAAAGATGTTGATGCAGCTGGTTCCTAAATGCTGAGGGGTGAGGAGCTGCAGGGACCACCTCACACTTTAAACAATGTGACTCTCTCATGACTGTTCACCAACGTCAACATCACAGTTCATCCATGTTTCTAGGGGGATTTCTGCAATCTCCACATAGAACAGGCTGTGTTTATTCAAGTACTGCAAAGGATATTTGCTAAAAAAGAAAAAAAAAAAAGAAAGTAATTGCAAACACATTCTAATGTCCGCCTTCTCAATAAGGTGTCGCTACACCAGACATCTGCTCTACACATTCCTTCTGTCTCTGGGAATAACTTGCTGAAGTAGTGCACGTGCAATAAACTCAACACAGAAGGCAAACAGTACCATCTCAAAGGAGCCTGAACTGAAAAGCAAAATTCACATATCCTAGCCTGTTGAAGGTCTAGAGTAAGGCCTCTTCAAATACAAGACCATAACAGGAACAAGTTCAAATTAAGGAAAACGACAAGAAAAAGCCAAAAATAATAATAATTAAAACAATAACAAAAACCAAAAATAAAATACAGGAAATGACTCAAAGGCCGTTCTATCAAATAGTTTCCCAAGCTGAGAAGACGCAGGGTGATGGGCTGAGATCCCTCCCCGACCGATGTCTGTCAGTCTCTGGGATCGGTGAAACCGTCAGTGTGGACACCTCCGTCACCCGATGAGGTAACTGTGTGTTTTTCAAAAGTCAAGCCGCTTTCAGCGTGTCAAACTCCTGCAGACGCAGGCCGTGGTGCCTCCCCGTCTCCTTCACCCCGTCGTTAAATGTCTAGGGCCGTGGCAGGATTCACTTCGCATGTTTCTTTGTTGGGTCAGAGACCCCTTTGGTAGTCAGTTGTCCACCTTGACGGGGCCTGATTCACTGGGCCGGCTGGGCAGAACGTCCTCCTCCTCCCCCCGAACTATCTGCTCCCAATGATTCAGGTTCTCCCTGGAAACAAAAAGGGACCAGAGCAGAGAAAACACACTTTAGTCTGCTTTAGAAAGCGATTAATACCCCTCCATCCATTTTACACTGTAATTCAATGTATTTTATCTGGATTTTTATGACAGAAACTAGCATATAATTGCAAGAGGGTGCAATTTTATATATATATCAAAAATATTTTGGACAATCCTGATCATCCTCTTCATGAGGCTGTCATAGATAAACGGAGTGTCTTCAATCAGAGGCTTCTTCAAATTTGCTGTAATACAGGCTGCTACATAAGATCCTTCCTATCCACAGTCCAAATGTATCCAATAGAATACATTAAACTTAGTGGTTGTAAATTGAAAAGTTGTGGAAAAGTTTTAAGTATATGAATATTTAACTAAAATTAATACCTATTAAAGCATGATCATGCACTACCATAATGCAAAAATAATCTTAAACCTTTGCTGAACTTCTTCAAATAGCGCTAGCACCTTTAGCACCACTGTAAATCATTAATCGTGAAAACTAGCGGATCCGTAATGAAGACGACCCCTCCATTAATCCATCCTAAAGGACGCGTGTAAGAAGCGTCACGGCCGTACGCTGCCATCCTCCTCGGCCAGCCGGCCTGATGCAGTCTGCACGTCTTTGGCAGATCCCAGCATGAGCTGCAGGGCTCCGTGGGGTCTAGGCCCGCTGCCCACCCAGAGCCGGGTGCTGACGTACAGCCGGGGCTTAAACATTACACTGCTCACTTTGTTTGCATTCCCCGCAGATCAAGGACACATTTTAAAACAGCAGCAGAAGGGAGAGCGAATGTGCAACTCGACCCTGTTTGAAAAGCAGTAATAACAGCCGTAAATACATTCTTTACGCGCTTATTGAACTTGAAGAGGAGAGCTGCAGCAGTCAAGCCAGTGCATCACGGTGGGAGGAATGACAGCTTTGTTTTTTCTTATGGGTATTAAAAAAAGTTGAGGCATTACGCTGAGATAAAGCAGCTGGCATACTTAGAGTGCTCAGAATGTGCATTTTTATAGTGCTCATACTCCTTAACAGCTTTAATCTATTGTGATGGATCAATTATCTCTAATCTCTCTCAGAAAGACAATATTGTTTAATGAAAGGTCCTGACCGCTGCTTTTTGAAATTCTTTCATTCCTAAATATAGCTCATTCCATCAAAAGTAGCTCATAAACCCCCCCGAAAAAAAACCCAAAAGAAAAACTTACTTGCAGGCATTTAGGAGTGGACTAGATGGAGGGAAAAGCTCCGTAAGTGTCGTGTAGCATGGAATTGCCACACTGTTGTAGAATCCCACCTTCGAAACGAAAGAAAAAAGTAAAAAGCAACTTATTTGTTGCTTTTGTACAATGAGCTTCAGGAATAGTTTGATGACTTTATGCCAAGCAACAAGTTACTCTGTCATATCTGCATTGTTGAACCTACTTATAAAGAAGAAAAGAGAAACTGAATCCATGGCTAAATCTGAAAACTTAATAAATGATTCAGCAATTAAACAAAAATGGTTTTTCCTCAGAAATATTAAAACGTCTTGTGCCCTTCTTTTGGAGGTGAGCAAAACTTACAAGGCTATTTATGTCTCGTAAAGAAGTAAATAAGTAAATAAGATATGCTGTAATTAATTTGGGTTTTCATTTGAACAAATACATGTGGATTTATTTTAGTGAGGTACAGACAAATTCCTCTTTCTCTGAAGATGAATGTTTATTTTTTGATTGTTAATGTTTACGCCTTACTGGTTAGAAAGATTTTATTATTTGACTCTAAATTGGTTGATCATTAATGTGAATATAGCAGAAACAGTAGATCTAAACTTGCGTATTTAGTGTGCAAATGAGGAAAATTAAGCTTTAAATGGGTACAATTCTGACCTCTAGATGGCGACAAAGTGCTTCTGACATTATAACAAGTATGTGTCAAATATGTTTCAACAGGCATTAGGGGGAACAATAGGCCTCCATGCTTCTCTGTGGTTTTTACAATGGAGTATCAGAGCAATAGTAATAAAAAATAAAATTATGAGAATAAAGTTATAATAATATGAGAATAAAGGATTACTCTCTGATTTAACTTAGGTTCAAAATTAATTGAGCAAGCCAATAGTGGAGGTTCTTCAAAAATATATTTTTGCATATTATGGTGAATGGCAGTACGCATACTGCCACCATTCGACACAAATATTTGTAAAGAATCTGCCATTTGTGTTGTTAGTGACAACAGCTGTCTGTTCTGAAACATCTTAGTCTGGGAAGTTTTGTCCAAAAATATTCAGTTTAAAAGTTTTAAAGTTCTATTTATTTTTCAAATTGTCCCTTTAATGCCAACAAAAACCCAAATTCAAATATGGTCTGCAACTATTTTCTTAAAATAGTATGTTAATCCTGTTCCGCCTCTGCCATTTGTGCTTCCCTCTCTCCGCAGTCTTATGTTTACAGACTAAGTTCCCACCAGAGCATGCATGTCTCTTTGTGTGTGTGTGTGTGTGTGTGTGTGTGCGTGTGTGGCGTACAGCACACATATATTCTGTGCTGGTCTTACTTGGCCCTGGGGAACCTCGTCCTTCTTGTCTCTGTCCATCATAGGGATCGGCTGAATTCCGATCTTCTTCATTTCATCTCCCTGCAGAGGAACAAACCAACAAGATACCTTTTATTTTGTGCATACTGCGGTAAACCTCCTGACCACCTGACAGTTCTATTTTGGGTGATTGGGGTTGTAGGACATGCAAAGTTGCAGCACTATTTACAAGCAAGAATAGAGGCCTGACTGTTAAAACTGGAGGCATGATCGTGACACTGAAACTTTTTGAGCTCAAACAGTATCCCACTGTACCTCAGCCCAGAACTCAGCATAGATGTCGTTAGCTGTGAGTCGTGTGACTTGCCACCGCTTGGTAACAGAACACAGGTCACATGCTGTCATCATCAGACCAATCACACGGTCCCTGGAGGGGAGCAGAGCCTTGTTATATCCATGCAGACGGAAACGAAAGCGGCTTTTAAGGACACTCTTTCTGGGACTGGCATCCTGACCTGTGCGAATGGTTGTTCAGGTCCAAGCCGCCGGTGGTCAGGAGCTCCGTCAGCTGCTGGTGGTTGTTGAAGTAGAGGGCGAGGTCGGTGGCGATGATGGCCTTCCGGATGATCTCCAGCACCTGCTCGTACTCGCTGGAATTCAGGTTGGAGAAAATATTGTGCCCTTCCAGCTATGAAAAACAAAGAGATCAATAAAAAAGCAAAAGCTCCACTTATGAGGCGTTCAGCTCAGCTACACTGCAACACATTTTAATCACAGGTTCATCTAAGCCCCAACCAGTGGATCATTGAGCGCTAAGAATGAAGATCTTGGTAACGGACTGTTAATCACATTTTTATCCAAAAAGAAAAAAAAGACAAGAGAAACTTGGGAGAAATGCCAAATTGATAATCAGTATGATCAAAGAGTTGCCTCAACCCTTCAAAGTGATTCAACAAAAGAAAATAAGTGAAAGGTCAAAGGTTATGGATGCAAACGTGAAATGATCTTTGCTCTTTGATCCAGTATGAGATCATCTCTTTTGTAGTACCACAACCAAACAGCAATCTCCAAAATTATTGCCACCTGCAGTAAAGATGTGCAAAAAGTTGAAATGTCCCCGTTAGAATTTTGATGCTTATTTCTGAGCTCTTTTTTTTTTTTTTTGCTCTGCCTTTTCGTCTTGAGGACCTTTATATAAAAAGACACACAAAATACTTTTTTCCCCCAGACTTTTTGGCAAGATGTGATTATGCCAATGTGACAAAAAATAATTCTGGATTTATAGCATTTCATATTAGCTTTTAGCATGGTTAGCATTACTAAAACACCTATGTCTGATGTTTGTCTATATTCCCTTAAAGACCGTGGATCCTTACCTTAACTTTGTGACTCAGATTTCCAAAAAGCTGTCAACATTTTGAAATCAAACATGCTCCATAACAGACATGTTGAAAGCTCAAAAGGAAAAAAAAAACAAAACATAGCAACTTTGATGTACTGTGTGGTCTGCCACTATTTTCTTTTCTTTTTCTCTCTCTCTCACAGAATTTAACCAGGTGAAGCTACAATGGGTTTTGTCTAGAAAATATTTATAGACATAGAAGGTTTGTTTTCATCTTGGATGCAAATGTACAGTGTATATTCGTATGTACAGTTTGGACTTAATTACTGCTGTTTTGAGTCTGTATGCTCCAGTTAGTGATTAACCAATTACTAAATTAATTGAGAATTATTTTATAATCAATTCATCACGATAAATCTGATTAATTGCTTCAGCCAAAATCATTTCATATAAATTCTGATTATAATAAACTGAGAGATTTTAGTTAGAGTGCACCGAGCGTATCGTAGAGGAGCTCTACCTGCAGGATGGAGACAGTCTGGGAGAAGTGGTGCTGCTCCATGGTGGAGGTGGAGTACAGAGCAGCCAGTGGATGGTCAAACTTCTGCAGGTATGTGTTGCTGTAACCTCGATGGTCCAGGTCGTGACACAGACAGGCTACCAACAAACCCTTCTTCTGCAAAAGAAGGAGGCTCATTGGCAAGAAACGAAAGCGGCTAAAATTGAGAATTAATCTTAATTGTTGGCTTTCTTATAAGCCAAGCGAGACGCAAACCTCTAGCTCAGTGAAGATCCCCGTGGTTTTTTGCAGGATGGCGAACATGCAGTGCGCCACTGTGACCGCGTGCTTCCAGTTGTGGTAGGGCACACGGCGGTAGTTTTTCCGTACCGACATGGTGAATCTGCAGAGCTTCTCCAGCTCAAAGCTGAACACACATAGAACATAAAAAAAAGAAAAGATTACCCAGAGAATTAGAGACTAACAACGTCCTTCCTTCTGTGGCAGTACCTGGACTTTCCACAGGAGCTGTGAACCATGTAGATGAAGACGGCCGGCCAGATCTCCTCAAAGGGACTGATGTCAAACTGGAACCTGGAGGAAGACGTAACATGATCAGCATGTGAACTCTCATCATTTTGTTCACAAACATCTGGCTTACACACAGAATCAGGTTTTCATCCAGTGGCTTGCAAAATATTTCTTTTTCACACTGTCACATTTCAACCACAAACTTTAATGTATGCTACTGGGGATTCATATGACAGACCGGCACAAAGTAATCAAAAATTATGAAACAGAAGTAATAAAAATCTGAAAAGTGTAGCATGGAGTTTTCCTAAGCCCCCCTTACTCCGACGTTCCTGAAAAAAAAAAAAAAAAAACATACAGTGCAATGCTTTCAGAAGTCCAGCTGTTCAAACGGTTATCTGAAAATGTAAAGAGTCTGGCACAATATTTCTTTGTGTTCTACTTCGTCGTCCATCTAAACTAGGACTCTGCAACCTTCAACTCCAGAGCTGCAAGTGATCTAAACTGACATGCTGGATAAAGAAGACTATTCATCAAAGAAACACTTAACAGGCCTTCTGGAGAACCTGAAGGGAGTCGTGCTATATTGTGAAATACGATGGTGGCAGCATCATGCTGTGAGGGTGTTTTCTTAAAGCAGAGACAGGGAAGCTTGTCAGAGATAGAAATAAATGCAGGGCAATCCTAGAAGAATAAAAATGTTTAACAATCTGGCAAGACCTGAACATTTCCGTTCACATTCAATCTGGCCAAACTTGAGCTGTTTGCAAACATTTCCATTTCTTGATGTGCAAAGCTGCTAATGCATGCCACCCTCTTCAGATATTTATCTGTAAAAGTATTTGAAATCCTTTCCCTTCCATTTCACAATAACTCGCTACTTGATTTTGCATCCCATAAACTCCAAATAAAACAGCAAAAAGCGTGGCTGCAACGTGAAAACGCTCCTTAAGGTTTGAATGGCGAGAACACTCTTATTCACTCACGTTTCAATTTCTTTGTAAATGGGTTCAGGAAGGTTGAGCTGGCTGAGGGTCTTCCACTCCTCTGATGTGCAGATGCTGTGATAGGACAGCTTTTCCATCGTCACTCTGTAGATGCATTCAGAGTGCCGGATCCTGTGGTACATCTGGAGAGAGACAGCGGCGAGACCGCAGCGCGGGAATCACTCTTTAAAATGTCAACACACACGCTGAACACTCGAGAGCAGTAAATGACACAGAAACCCTGAGCATGATGTGAAACTCTTCATGCGTCACTGCTGTAATTTCACTAAAAGAGGGCTTTTTCCCCCGGCCTCCCTCAACATCTGGTTTGTGTCCCTGTCCCCCCGCGCAGACAAACGGGCAGTGGAAGCGGCCAGGTACAGGCGCCCAGGCCCCGCGTAAATCACCGCGGATCAGGAGCCGGCCAAAGTTACGTTTCCTAGAGACGTGGGGCATAAATCACAGCCAAACATAAATCCTGTCACTGGACGGATGCGAGAGAGCGGTCGTCTTAAAATATTAACATCCCGCATCAATTTTAAAACCAACTTTGTGACGCCGCTCCCTGCGTAAGCATGTCGCACGGAGCCGACAGCGACCCAGGTCCCGCGGTGAGCGGACGCTTTGACAGACAGACCACACAATGCAGTGGCTGGGAGTTTAGCGTTGTTCAAAAAGATAATCGTCACTTTTTATCCATATTTCGAGGTAATGGACACTACAAATAGAAACTGCAGTCTTGATTGTGGAGGGAAATTACAATTGCACAGTAGCACGTAAGCTGCAACAAACGTAAAGAGTGGAGAACGCTGAGGGTCAGCTGACAATCACCACCGATCTGGACTGTCACAGATTATTGTATCGCTTGTCATTTATTGTGAAAAATGTCTCATCATGATACGAATTCTCTTTTATCATCGTCACGATAAATTTTAATTAATGATGTTAAAGAAAAAACTAAACTAGCAGTATTATCAGAAATGTTTTTACTATTTTCCCCACTATTGTTAAACAAATAGTGGGCAATCAGTAAATTTAAAATTATTATTAAATAAAGTTGCTGTGTCCAGTTTAGTGATATAAATCTCACTTTTTAAATATGTGGCATCCTGAAAAATGGGAATATTTTTCGAGAACGATATTTGTGTTTGCTGTGCCATGCATTTACAGTCATACAGTTACCTACAAAATGAAGTATTAAATAGTTTGTTTGTTTGTTTTTTTACCATAATTTTTAACGTTATCACAATAGTACCACAAAATATTGCCATAAAATTTTAAGTCCATATCTCCCACCCCTTTAAGAGATTTTTAGGTATTTCATCAAAAACATTTAAGCTTGTGTGGGATACTCACATTTGCACAGTGTAAGGCCAGAGCACAAAAGACAGCAAACATCTTAAAGTTGTTCTCATCGGTTTTAGTGAAGGCACTTCCGCTTAGCTTGTTCACCATCTGCACCACGCCGATAACAGTCCCCCTGCTCACAATGGGCATGCACAGGATGTTCCGCGTGGTGTAGCCAGTTTTGAGGTCTACCTCTCTACCGGGGAGCAAATGCACAGAGAGAAGGCATCAGTTTGACCTTTAACTCCATGTTGCTTACAGGTTTTAGACAAGTGGGTTTTGTTTGTGACTCTAAGACATTCCAACTAGTTAGAATACAATAACTTAATGATATTTAAACAATGAGACGATAAAGAGAGCAGTGATTTACCGGTTGAACCGTGGGTCTGCATAGGCATCTGGGATATTTAAGACTTCCCCTGTCCGAGCTACTTGGCCAGCTATTCCTTTGTCTATGGAAAACCTGCAGAGGCACGAGATGGGAGAGAGGAAGCATTTATTGGATAAACATTATGTTAAAGAGCTATATATGAACAAATATGATGATATTCTACAGTAAAGTCAGGTATTATCTGAATGCAGTATTGATATATTCAATATATTGTACAGAGATTTTATGGGACAATTATTTTTGTTAAATCCAATATGGCCGACAGACAGAAAAGCATGCCAACCGACCCGGTCCCTCCTTCTACTGTAGACATCAGACATCAGACATCAGATAACCCCTAAAGAACAATACTACTGATGTCTTTTTCAAATAATTACTTTGTATTTGGAGAACATTACAATTTTTTGCAAATTTTTTTTCCTACCTTTTTTATGCCTTAAGAAAATAAAAAAAGGAAATAAATCCTGACACAAAGGATCATAATTCATGCATGAAAGGGTTAAGGGTGGATTTAATATTTAAATTTTGACCAGACCATTAATCACACCAAAAGGACATTAAAGTTTGTGGTTGTGGTGTTAATATTTTTACAATACTGCAAAAACACAAAACCTTGTCTGGTGTTTTTGGCCTAGTTTCTAGTGTAAATATCTGACTGCACTTTAAATAACTCAAAACTAGCATGTAAGTTACTTTCAACAAGGTGTGGGAGTTGTTTTAAGTCAATAATTAATTTATCAATAATTCCTGATGGAAAAACAATACTAGTTTTAAGTGAAATAATCTGCCAGTGGAACAAGTGGAACATTTTATAACTTATAATATGAGAAAAATGCTTAGTAAGATTTTGTGTTTTTGCAGTGTGTTGGTCAAAAACACAATCACCCCACAAACACATTAATCTTTGTGGTTGTGATGTTAATATTTATGAAGTGACTTTTTTCTCACTTGCTTTTACCACAAAACATTAGTGATTTAAGTGCAGGAATCTGTCTTTCAACATATCTAAAACATAAAAATACAAATCTGAAAACCACTTCAGAGTTAGAGTATAGAATGAAAAGGTTATAAACCTTATTTCTTTTGTTTTCCTAAACACAGGTTTGCCTTCCTTCTCCTCCCCGATGTCGAACAGGTCAGAGTACAGTTCTTTGTTGCTGTGATCTACCTGGAAGAGCGCACATCTGTCTGCATTCACCAGGTTTTTTGCATATATCTGTAAAGCAAAAGAAGGGGCGCATCATTTTACAGATGGTTAAACCAACAAGGAATCATCAGTTTAGTTTTAGTGACTAACATACTACTGGTTTAATCTTTGTTGGCAGAAATTGAACAAACTGTTTATTCAAAGTTGATCATTTTACAGTTTCAATCTGATGACACCCAAGCAACAATTTCAGCCAGATGAGGCGTTAGAGGAAGAACTCCCCTCAAAATAATCATATTTTATTGGTTATAAATATTTTTACAGAGTCAATTTCCCTAATATAGATGTAAAGAAAAGCTGATGAAGCATAAGTCAGACTCACCATAATATGTTCAAGTAGAGAATCTATTGCCACAATGTTATCAAAGTATGTTCTGTGCAAAAAGGAAACAACACATTGAGATGTTTTAACAAACAGAAAGCTCTGCTGACTTTCACATTAAAATTGTAAATGCTACAATCCTACTTAAGCTAATCCACATTTTGTTGTGTTGTAGCCACAAATTTCAGAGCTTTTTATTAGGATTTTACGTGACACACCAACACAAGGTTGGTGTATTAGTACAACAAATAAATGCACACCACTTAGATTTTCTTATTTTAATTTGCAAAGACAAAATTATTTTTTACCGCCATGATTGACTTTGTGTTGGCCTGTCACATAAAAATCCACCAAATATACACAAGTTATATATACAAGTTTGTGGTTGTAATGTAACAAAATGTGGAAAAGCTTCAGGAGTATTAATATGTTTGCAGTGCACTATGAGCTTGTTAAAATATAATTATTACTCCTACTGCGAAAACACAATGTTTATTTAGGACTTGTGTTGTCGTGAATGCAGTTAAATCGCTGCCACACATGAAAGCATTTCCAAATTTTAGGATCATGGTGTAAAAGCAAACTTCACAGGTTTTCACCAGCTTTCATTGAGAGTTACAGAAGCAGATCTCAGTGCAGCTCTTACTTTGACACATCTAGTAGGAAGTCATTAAGCTCAGTCTGTTTGGCAAGGCCTCTGCACATCTAATAAAGAAAAATAGGTCAGGATCAGACACACAGATGTATGAAGAACTTTTTCTTTTCTTTTCTCAACACATCCAGCACGTTCTGTAAGCGAAGTGGTTCACTGTCTACAAACAGGCTCGCGGGCTATCTTCTCGTGTCTGTAACAACGGAGCGTGTCGGCAGCAAGCAGCGCTTCGGCGCTAACCGAGGCTCAGAGGTCCACTGTGGCCAGAGCTGCAGTGGGACGCTGCTCCTCTGGGGTACTATGTTATCTTTTTCATAAAACATAATGACGTCTCAGGGGAGATGTTTGTTGAACGCATGGTCTTGTTGATTGGACTGGGCACACTGACAACCCGGTTCCTGTACACAGTGGATTTCCCCAGTGCAGAACCAGAACAAACAATGTCATCCAGAAGCATAATAAACGGTAGGGTACACCTTGTTGCCAGAGGCTCAGGAGGAGAACTGCAGCACATCTGTTAGAGGGGGCAAGCTCAAATTCAGATCAGGTCTGTATGCAGGCATGCCTACCTGTACTTGATGAATGGCAACAGATGCCCAAGCTAAATTTGCTGTTGCAACCTGCAAATAAAAAAAAAAAGAAGGTAAACTTAGTTTTAAAGTTCTGGAGACAGAAAATCAATAAATTCAAGCCACCTAGACACATTTTGACAGTTTTTTAAAACAGTCACAATCAAGCTAGCTCTCTCACAAATTCAGTGCAGCTCTGCATACTCAGCTAAAATCCTACAAAAAAGCGTCACATCCTTGCTGTTCTGGTTTCTGCTTACAGAGCTTTAATGTTTCGCAGATTTATTTGGAAAAACAAACAAACTGCATGCAACCTGTGCAGCTGCAAAGGTAGTGGAAAAATGTACTCCCATCAGGATGTGGTGTAAATGAGTCTCTGCTTCATTGTGAGAGCTATAAAACCAACAGGATGAAGTGGCAAGAAGTCAAATCGAACTCAAACATGTTAATCTAGCCTGCATGGGTATAAGATTTGAGTCCATTTCAACATATATGATTCTTTTTTATTACCTTTTATTACATTAAAAACATTTTAACTTTCTAAAAATCTTAAAACTTTCAGCAACAGCTTGGATATTAAAAGTTACAGCTGTGAAACACAATAAAGCAGTCTAATCATCTCAAAGTTATAAATATTTGCAATAGACGTCTAGTGAAAGCTGTCAGTATTTAAAATAGCGCAGCGTTTTTATGTTGCTCTTGGCTTCAGCCCTTTTCTACTAGGATCTTGGGCACATTTCAAGTCATCCTGCTTCAGCCTTATTTAAAAAGTTGCAGGTGTGCTTGTTCTGATTTGGGCTGACCTCTTGGTGTCTTAGGTTGAAAGGCTCCCTGCCCCAGTGCCGATGCAGCTCCAGGATGGCGATGAGGTCCCCAATGGCAGTGAGGACGGGGAGACACAGGACAGAGTGAACATGGATCCCTGAGTCCTGCCCTGTGCCGTCTGGAAATCGCTCGTCCTGCAAACGCAGAGAGACCCGTCCAAACGTCTACCCAACTAGACTGCATGTGTGTTATAACAGTGCATCATAGGAAAGCCTACAGCCATGCACAAAAATGTGACTTGCATTGTGCATTCAACTGTTTGGGTTGTTTGATTGACTTGTTTGCTGAGATTTGTTTAGACTGGTGGATTTTCCATCACAGAAGATCTCTGTTGATATTTTCTTCCGGAATCTGTTTTAGAAATTTTCCTGTTCAGACTGACTTCAAGCTGAAAAAGTCCCTGGTTTGTCAAATTCTGTTCTCTAATCAAAACAGGCAAAGTAGCCAGGAAGTCGCAATGAAAAGAAATACAGACATCATGTTTTCTGCCTATGGTGCAAAAATATTCATAACCTCTGAAACGTTTTTACAAATTTTGTCACTTTGCAATCACAAAATTGATTATTTATTATTAGGATCTGATGTGATGGACCATCACAAAGAAGTGGATAATTGTGAAGAAGAAGAAAGAAAATTCATAGTTAGTTTTCAAAGAAGAAAATGCATTTGTATTCAGCCCCTCAGCAGCTTGGAAATGGAAAAAATTTGCCCCTTCATCTTTGCAAAAACTAGCCAAAGCTGTCAGGCTGCATGAAGATCGTTTACAAAGCACTATTTTTAATTTTAAATCTTGTCATTGATTCTCAGATGGATTTGGGACTGAATTTGATCTAAACCATGTTTAGTAGCCTCAAACGGGTTTTCTTGCAGGATTTCCCTGTTTTTTAGTCACATCCAACTTCCTCTCTACTCTGTCCAGTTTCTCTGCACCTGCTAAAGGAAAGCAACCCCCACCATGATGCTGCCACTACTGTGTTTCATAGTGGAGACTGTATTTTCAGGGTGATGTGTATTGTTGGTTTTATCAAACGGTTCAAATTTTGATGTCATCTGATGCGCACAACTACACGGTTTGTCGCAAACTGTAAACGGGACTTTGGTGGCTTTCTTTCAACAACAAACATCTTCTTGCCACTCAGACTTGTAGAGTGGTTGTTATGGTTATCACATTCAAAGATTCCTCTTATTGATCTATTAATGTCTGCAGCTTCTTGGTTTCTCCTCTGATTAAATCTCTTGAAGAAGTTTGAAACCCTTGGTGCTCACCTTGCTGCTCTACGGCAAACAGTTTGGCGACTAAACTATCAATATTGTCAAATTCTGATTAGTGTGACCTCATTCTGGTTTAAAGAGAGCTGTCGTACCCCCATGATGTCCTCCACTAGCAGTGTTTTGCGAGTCTTGGCAACGTAAGCGGCAATGGTTGTCCCGTATGAGATGGGGCCAGACGGGACGAGGCTTGGACGGCCATCCTTGGCCCCCCTTGGAGTGTATAAACATAAACTCTGTTAAGAAAAAAAAAGGAAAAGTAACAATAGATAATGAGAAACATACAGAGAAAGAAAAGGTAACTTTAATGAGTAAATTCGATCAACTCACATTGTTGCATTCTCCCAAGAAATAAAGTGCAAAACTATCAGCTTTTGTTGCTGCAGAGAGAAGACATACATGTGCTTAGATGCAGCTTACTTCAGCAGTTTGCATTCTCAGACATTTTCTCCAACGATTAAGGACCAGGCGTAGACAAAAAGCATAACAAGGAGGCAGCTGCAGTCGAATCGTCTAACAATGGCCAACATAGCAACAAGTGTACTCTGACCGAGGCTTTCACTGCCTTCCAGTTCATCTCACTCCCAGTCCTCCTCTCCAGTCCCATTTCACACTCAGATATAGGTCATGTTATCATACAATGTGACATCAGAGAGGCGGCTGCAGCACATAATACTCAGATCATCAGGAAGTTAGAGAGTGATTTGCTTTGGGTGAACTGGCATATTTAGTTCACTTGGAAATATTTAATCACTATTGTATGTGTGTTTCTCTCTGTTAGGGATAAAGTGGTTTACCCTGCACATATCTCAGCCACTGACCAAGCTACTTTTGTCGTTTTCCACACCACATATACTTTAGGTTTTTAGTCATCTAGTCAATACCACAGTTATGATCTGGCACAGCAAACAGAACTGTCAATGTTTTCTTTAGACAGACGTGTGACTCTTGTTTACCTCATGTAATAGATGTTATCTGAAGTCTTCAGTGAGTGTGACTTTAATCTTAAAAAGCATATTTCATCATATTTTAGACAATGCAGACATGACCTGCAGTTTTGCCTTTGAGTAAGAATGCAGATCATCTCTGCAGCAGAAACTACCCTAATGCTTCCTGAATTTTTGTTTTTTATCTGAGCTTTTTTCAGAAGTGGTCATAGAAGGTGTTTAAATCTCTGTTGAGAGTACTGGATAGCTAGGTCTCATTGCTACTGCTCCCAGATATCATTTCTCTCTCCTCCGTCTCACTGGACAAGTCGACGTATAAATCTTCGCCTTATTAGCTTACTTTCCAGCTGGAACTTGGCGATCACTACTGTCATCTTGGGTGGCCATCATGTTTATGCACTGATGCCCAGACTTCATGTTCCATACATAATGCTGGTTTCTTTCCTTAAAGCTAAATATTTATTGACTCTGGAGGAGGAAATAAATGTAAGTATCATGTTTTACAAGTCTGAACACAACTAAAAAGGAAAGACGTTAAAAATAATATGAAATATGGACTTTAATGGCTTCTTCAGAGTTATTTTTAATCATAAAAATCCCCCTCTAGTATTCTGAGTGTTTGACCCCAAGTTCATTGAGAAATGTTTATCCAGGAATTTGTCATAAACACGCAGATTTTTTTCCATCAGAAAAAAAAAATCTAGCTGTTCTCTGTGACATTTTGTTGCAGCATTTGTGTAATAAAGTTTAGTATGTATTTATATGCTTTTACCTGTTTTGATTATGTTGGACAACTCATAGAGCAGGAGTTTGTTGTCTCCTCCAGTGTCCAGCCGCTGCTCCATGAAGCTGTTCAGTTCATACACCACACCCTGCATGTTTGTGTCCTGGTACTGCTGGACACAACACAAAACATTAAAAAAATGGAAACAACTTGCATTTTGTGGCACATATTGATTTATGCACTTCATAGAAAAGGAAGATACTTTGTTTTTAAACTGAGAGAAAGAACATTTATCTTTTTGCCAATGACCAAAATATTCTCCTCCACGACTCGATGACATTCCCTCTCACTGCTGCGTTTTAGCTTAGAGATCCCCAGTGGCTCCAGAGAAGGTCATAACACCCACAGTTCTGACTGGAGTCCTGACAAGCCTTGCTGCAGAGCCTCAGCTTTAAAACCGTCACCGTGCAAAAAGACAAACCTCCGGCCCTTTTTACGAGGCCAAAGAGATGTCTATTTCTGCGCCTGCAGAGAGGGTGAGGACAGGACAGCAGGGAGAGTGGTGCACTAGAAAGCATCCCCAACGGGACGCTTTCTGCCCTCCCACATCCTGTTTGCGCAGACGTATGGATGACGCACTGAGGGGTTGAGGGGACCTCATTTATTTTCCTGTGTCATAAGTTTATTCTACAGAGGTGGACGGCTCAGATCCCCGGATGTGACTGGGAAAAGGTGCGAGTTTAGGTGGGACACGGGGGAGAGTTTTTTTTTCCCAATTTCTTTATGGCTAATTAGTTATAATAAAATGCACATTGGAGTCTTCGGCATTAGAAATGCTTGTTAATAGTTAGCATCATACAGTAAATCAGAGCCATCCTGTACATAATAGAAGAAAGCACTGGACCGACAACGATCCGTTTGTTTGAAAATGTTTCAATTAAATTAACTATGGCATGTTAAACAATATAAAATCTGAAAAGTGTGGTCTGCATTAGTCTTTAGACTCTTTTACTCTTCCACCTCTAAATAAAACATAGCAAATCACATAAAAATCTGTCTGTTCTTTAAAGGTCTCAGCCGTTTGTTAGAAAACATTAGCAAACAGCGTTGCGATAGGTTAGCAAAGACCTGACAGGCCAGAGAGACGCTAATTAATAAAAATTAGAATCAGCTTTACTGACCATGATTGTGTGCACAAACAAGGAATTTGATGTTGGTTTGAAGTGCTCACTGCATACAGACACCAAATATAAATAGATAATATTTAGAGGAATAAAATAAAGGATAAAAAGAACAGTATGTACAGCTATTTGTTTTATATATATATATATAAAGAAAAGAAAAAGTGGAATATGTTCATTTTGTTTCACAGCAGAGTAGCTGACTGCTCAGGCTATAAGGTGTTCATTGTGTTCATCAGAGAGGCAGCCTGGGGGAACAAACTGTCTCTGTGGGGTCTGGTTTTTGCAAATAGCACTCTGTAGCGCCAACCTGAAGATAAAAGTTTAACAGTTTGTGTCCAGGATGTGTGGGGTCTACAGAGAGGTTAGCTGCCCCTTTTTCTGAATATAAACCCACACAAGTCCTGGATGTAATAATTTAATTTAATAAGTAAGTTAGGTTTAGGTATAATACAAAAACTTACCCTGCTGACTTCTTTAGTTGATGTGTCATCTATAAAGACAAAAAAAAAAATGTTAACAAGCTGAGTGTTTAAATATGTTACTTAATCATGTGATTTATTTATCTTTTATCTGTTTAACTGGTATAATCTATGTAGAAACCAACCAAAATAAAATGTACCAACAGTTATTTGAGTATAATTTGCTGTCTCACATACATTTTCTGCAAATTTTCAAACAATTGGCAATGTTTCAAAAAACAAACTACAAATATTGACAATTTAGCTAAAAAACTTTTGAACATTCTGTGAGGCCCAGGTTTCTTAACCTCTTCGAATTGGGAGAGACAACAGACAATTCCATTTCTGGAGGGCAAATGTGTTAACACGTGGTAAATGGCGACAAAAGTTTCGGCCTTTTTGCACATTTTTGCCAGCAGTGCCCATAAACATGCAGGGTGGTGCAAAGGTGAATTTATGCCATTTAAACTAAGACAAACTCAAATTTCAAAGATGTTTGAACCAAAACGTCAAAACAGCTCACACCATTTTGCAAGATGTAGTCATTTAAATCGTTAATATTAGCCACCTGTTGTTGCTAAACACAATAATCACCTTAAACTACCAGGACATTTTGTTTTAGATGTTAGAGATTTGCTCTTGATTAGAAGTTCCTCTGAGCAGCTGTTAGCTCGACTACTCTATAAAATAGTTTTCTCTTATTTTCCAGGCAGGGTTTGCTCCTACTGTTGCACTTCATGTAAAACCCATTACAGCTCAATGTTCAAAACAAGCATCCTTCAACAGAATTATTAACCTATGTCATTCAGGTCTTTTCTCATCTACAGCTGTTTATTATAGCTGCCAGTTTCTTATAGTGTCATCTAATAATCCTAATAAATGTTTATCCTAATCAAAATTCTAACAGTTCAAGCTGTTTTTTGAATTAAAAATCTCTGAAGCTGAACATTCATGTGTCTTGACTATTTGAAATCTGGGTGTGTGCTTTTCTGCAAATTAGCACAATGATAGATTGCAGTGAGCTGACAGCACAGGCTGTAAATAAGCAAAAGCCCATATGTGGTCCTCCCAACAGTAGTTGAACTGAAACATTTTGAACAAAACCAAAAAGTGTGCAGTTGCAGTACGACAAAAAATATACCCAACCAGATTTTGTCACAAATTTCACGAACTGCAATACACAAACTACGTATTGCACAAATCAAGATTGTCATCTTGTGTCTGTCGACGGAGATAAAACTCTGACTTCATCTGTTTAGTTCACTGTATTGAAAGTGATTTTGTAAAATTTGAGAATGTTTCACAGTCGCAATCAGCTGATCAAGCACTTTTAACTCTTTCTTATAAATAAGAATAAATAAGAAGTTATTTATTCTTGTTTTTCTTAAAATAAATATTTTTATTGTTAAAACTGACATATTGGGGTTAAAAGTTTGGTAAAGTCGTGAACTGAAATTATAATTGCCATCCATAATGCACATTTTGAAAAAAATTAAAATAAAAAAGCAATAATTTATTTCTAAAGTCTTTAAAAGTCCTATGAGTTATTTTTTTTTTTTGCATTGAAGGGAAAAAAAGGGAACATTATATGGTTAATGTATAAAATTGATAGAAACTAATAAAAAATTATTATATTAACTGAATCATTTACAATCTACGTAAATCTGTAAATCCCACAAATTCAAAAAAAAATTTTAAGAAGAAAAAATAATAAGCAAACATGTTCTGTTAAATAATTCACCTGAAATATATGCAATATGCCTTGGCTCATATACTCAGAAGGTATTCAATAAACTCAAATCTTAGTCTCCTAGAATATGTATTTAAAAGGTGTTAGCCAGCTCATTATCTCTCAGTTTTGATATGACTAATTGATAATTCAGCTCCTTTTTTGTTGTTTTTCACAATTCAAGCTAATCATGTGCGAAGAAACCTTACAGAAACTAGTTTTTCTCATGCTTCAGAAACTAGGGGCTTTACTTTAAAGCCATTTCTTGATGACTGCTATTTCATGTTCACCCACACAGCTTTCGGTCTGAAGTAGAGATGAACTTTGGCTGACAGGGTGTCACCTCACAGGCAACAATCTGCAGCGGCCATTACAGTCTTTCCTTCACAGCTTTTCCACTATGAGCATTAGTGTAAAAGGTGACAAATACTGTGATCGTCAGGGGAAACCCAGATGTTTTTAGGTCACATTGAAATCACACTCCATGTAGATGTTAAAACTATGTCATATTGTTTATATTTTCCATCAAAGCTAAAATATGGTCAAATCACCCAAACTGAACCGAGTATGCACTTTCACTTCATTTTCAGCTCTAAAACACTTTCTGAATAACTTATGAAGAAATAAATCTGAAGTGAGAAAAAATATGAACAGTTAAACTTTCTGACTTCGAGTGAAATTTATTCTTGTGACTTTCAGCTGTTGAAACTGGATGAAAATACTTTCAGTGACAATAACAAAAGTTTCAGTCAGTCCTAAAAGTTTCTGACATGGAGTCTTGGGATGAAAATCAAACATACGGCTCCAGAGGCTCTTCATCAAACCAGGGTCAACAGCACACCAGAACAGCAACTATTGAGACCCCTTTGATCGTATTGCATTTGAAAAATACCATGCACAAAGGTTTACACGTTTTAGAAATACAAGCTAAAGTTCTGACCAGAGTTGGTGAAACAAATCCCCATGAAGATGTGAAGAGGGCTTTTACAGCCAGCCACATTGTTTGTTGTTTTAAACATTCCTCCAGTATGCTATGAGTTTCCTAACTTAGCCATGAGACTTATTTTAGAGTGAACCCCTGGCCAGGCGTGACGTCAATCAGAGGACTGAAAGCTGCACTTGAAAAAGACTTCAAATCCCTTTATAAAGGGGAGCGTTTCTTTTAGACACAACCTTTTCTGACTTCTAGAAGTCTAGATATTTCACACGCAGATGCCTTTGAAGACTAAATCTGACCAAACTAGTGACTGGAGAGAGACTGGAAGCTGTTAAACATCAGTAATTACAGCAGAAACTAAACTGTGTTAATAAACTGATGCATGCTGTGTACATAATAAACACATTCAAATATTGAAATTATTTAATGATATATATAAGTGTTATCAACGGCAGCTGAAAACAGTATTTGTTCTTCTTGCATGAATGTCATCCTCACTCTTTACAACTAAAGGTACAATTTAGACAACCGATCTAAAACAAAAATATCAGAGGATTGTAAGCATAATGTTGCCCTGTGTTAGAGAAAATGTATCATCAATTGAAACTTTTGTACTCAAATCTTGTTTCTGTTAGTTTGTGTGTTCCAACATCATTCCATGCTGGAAAATAAATATTGAAATGCATCATTAAAAGATCCAGAGTAGTTTGATATTTATGATGATGATCCCTTGTGAATTTCTAGAAGATCCTGAATTAAAACGTGTTTCAGGAGCAACATTTTAAAAGCTAAGTGGTTCTTGCTCAGTATACATTTTCTCAACGGTAATATACAAATCCCTCTTGTCCCTTGAAACCTCAGAGCTATAAAACCTGATGGCCTTTAAATCTGAACTGTTACGCAGAAGCAGGTGCCTGCTTGGACAACTTCCAAAAGTTTCCTTAAGGTTTGCATGCACAGCCATGCACATCCTGCGGCGGCTACAGGCCCAGCATGCTTTTCCAACGAATGTTTTTTCTAGAAACCAGTAAGGCTTCAGTGTGTTCAGTTGGTTTTGTTTGGTGTGGGTCAAAAAGTCTACATACCTTATCCCACTTACATAAAAGTGGAAGAAAATGACAATTTGCTCAACTTATTCGGCAAGAAAAACATCTCTGTTTCATCAGATATGTTGGTGAATTAATCCCAACAGGGCCGCTAGTCCTCAGGGAGTGTGCCTCAGGTGAATGTGCAGGTCATCATTTGAAGCACTCAGCTATGCAACAGTCGCTTAATACCTTCCCATATTTGCATGGAGCCGTTATGCTTTCAGTAAATACAAAAAGAAAGCACTGACACTTTCTTAGAAAATATCCTGGCAGCACAGTCGCCAGTGAACACCAAACACGACGGTGTAGCACTTCTCCAGACCTGTGGGATGTGCACTACTTCTAACTTTATGGCACTGCTGAAACTTCTTGTGAACTCGTATTACTTTTGTTAAAAGATTTATATGTGTTGTGTCACATTGGTTTAAAATTTATTACACAGCACTCAGAGTGAAGGTCGCCTCTGACATTTAACAATCAAAACTGTTCAACTCAAAGAACTTATTCAATAATACCTTTAAAACTGCCATTTTATACTATTATAGCACAATTAAGTAACTAACTATGCAACCTTCAATTGTTATAAAATGTTGGAGAGCATATTGCAAACATAACTTTATATTACCCTTTGAAATTGAAATCTGTCTCTTTAAGAAACTCTTGCTATTTCTGACGCCTCAGCACGTCATCACAACAATTCTTCTCATTTGGTCGTTACCAAAATGAGTTTTGTCGTTAACGACCATCGCCAATGGTCGTTAACGACGTATATTACTTCTCATTGGCATGAGAAGTAGCACATGTTGACTTCAGTAGACTCGCAGTTACACCAGACGTTTGCTAATTGGTGATGCACCTAGTCTGGAGGAGATTCAAGGATTTCTCAAAAATGCATTAAATAATCAAAGCAACACTCCAGGTATGTTTTAGACGAGGGAATAACATTATCACATAACATAAAGCTCAAAACAGTCAAATCTACACAACACTGCTGCCCCTTTAGAAAAATAAAAAATCTCCACAAAATATGTTGTACAAAATATTTTCTTTTTCTGTTTTTGTGGCAATTTTCTCACACTGATGTCACATGTCAGGTGAAGGATAAAAGCACACATCTGATGCATCAGCTCAGAGTTAATGATCTATAATGAGACGTTACAACACATGACCTATAGACGCATGCAGAGGATATGAACGGCTCCATGCATGTCTTTAATGTTTCACAGGAAAACGAGCCTCTCAGTCAGCTGGGTCTAATGTGCACAGAGCTTAATGGGA